CGGCCCGCGCCGGCCGCGCGCCTGACGTCCCCAGGGACCTCGGCCGCGCCTCCGGAGAAGTAGCGGCTCGTGACGACTTCGCTTTCAGCAGGCGGGCCTCGGGATTGGCTGAGACGGGGGCGCTTGGAATGCGTAACCGGAAGTGCTGGCCGGCGGGACACGCCCGTCGCGCCGTTCAAACCTGGATGGCGGTAAAGCGGGGCAGCAGGTGGGGAGGGTGGCGTGGAGCGCTGTGGGGTGGCTGGAGGCTTGGGGTCGTGCCGCCGGCGCTGAGGGGAGACTGGGGGAGCGCGGGTTCCCGCCTTGTGGGCAGCGGTTCCGCGAGCCACAGTTGCTGTCACTTGGGGGGCTCCGCACCGTAAGGGTCTGCTTAACGTGGGCGGCCTTCCTCTCTCCCACAAACACGTTAATTGCGGTGGTGCTCCGGGTGCGCTCAGACTTGATAGTTTTAATAAATAGTATCTCCAAGAGAATATAAATGTTGCTTAAGTTGTAACCCCCCCATCCCCTTTTTTAAATTTAAAGTCACCTGTTCAAATGCCTCTTCTTGAACATCCCTCTTCTCTTTTTCAGGTGGTCTTTTATACAAGATAATCTGTAAAGATGTTGAAGTTTAAATGTGGTGTCCGAAATCCAGTAGAGGCAGGACCGATGGAGTCCATCACCAGCCGAATTTCTCGGCTAAATCTGCTCTTCCAGGTAAAGAGCATCTGGCCTGTGATTAGTGTCTGTGTCTGTACCCAGCACACCAAAATACAGGTTTGCTTGTTTGTGTGGACGCTCAAAATGTGCCTGTGTGGTGATTTGGAGGAAGGGATAAAAGAATGGGATAACTTGTTGAAGTTTCGAGTGTGTATCTAGTTTGCACAAAATTCAGTGGATAGTAGCTGGGCTTATGTTGCTGTGTATCTGTCAGTGTTTTAGCTTGAGTGGATTTTCCCACATAAAGATGAAATACTGCATTCTGTGTCCTGTAATCTGCAATTTTTTCCTGTGTGATGCAACTGAGAGTTTGTCATGAGGTGGATTTACTTAACTAGCTGCTATTTGGTCACTTGGCGTTCAGCAGCTTTTCCTTCTAGAACTCATACTGATCAATACTAACATTGATTCAACTCTTTGTAGCATGAAAAAACCCACATGGTACAATGTCAGGAAAAAAGCCGGTCAGATCAGAGTCATTCATAGGGTGAAGACAGTTTCAGGAAAGCTGTGATTTGAACTCAGACAAAAGGATTGCTTTGTCTAAAAGTAAAATACCTGTAACAGCTATTACAGCTAAACATCATGAGTTTATATATTTACCTTATGCTTCTGTATTATTTGTCTAATTTCTGAAGTAGAGATTTTCAAATGGATAATGTGTAATCTGCTCTATACATATGTTATTGAATTGAGGCTTTTCATTGTTGTCTGAGACTCCATCTGCTGTTTCTTCTTTTTTTTCCCAGGGAAAGCCGCTCTTTGTGACTCAACAGCAGATGTCTCCTCTCTCCCGGGAAGGCATCCTTGATTCTTTATTCGTTCTTTTTGAAGAGTGCAAAAATCCCACCTTGATGAAAATTAAACATGTTGGCAACTTTGTCAAGAAGTGTAAGTTTGTTTAGACTGATTTTCAGGTGTCATTTTAAATGACAATTCTTAAGAATGTGAATGTTTAACTAATGCTTTAGTTGCTCTCATTCATTACTGATTGTAACATAGGACTTTCAACATCTGAGTTTTGTGGGCAGACTCAACATTGCAAAGGGGATCTTGGCAATCAAGGCTTAGTTCAGGTCCAAAGAGGTCAAATTCAAGTGGCTTTTGAAGTGCTATGACTCGAATGTGCATCCTTCTTAGTCTGTGCTGTATGTATAGTTGAGGAGGCACTTTCTTTAAGTGTCTTGAGTACTGCATACAGCAAAGCTCCAGGAACGCACAATAGAAGGGTGTCAGAAGTTGAGAGCAGGACAGTGACTAGAGGTATGAGAAAAAAAAATATAGAGAGAAACTTTGTAATCCTTGGCTCTTTCAGCTTGAAGTAATCCTTTGGATTCCATGTGTTATCCAAATTTTACATATGTAACTTGCAAGTAGTAGTTCTGTGCTTCAGAGAGAGAATTTCTGATGGAGTAAATATTTCACTGATAATCACAGGATCATTGAGGTTGGAAGAGACCTCTAATGTGCTCAAATTCTTTTTGGAGAAAGAGGAAAAGAAAAAAGGTTCATCATTTTTTCTATTAAGATATACTAGAAAGCCGTTTGGTTAGAAGTAACTTATCATGCCCTCTATAGTAGTTCCATCCAACAGTTTCTAGCTACTGTTAGCAGAGAGTAGTTTTCTGCTAGTATGAAGAATTTTTAGAACAATCTGCAGTGAGCAATTGATTATCACAGTGTATGCTGGTTGAAACTAGTCAATAGAAAACAAGCTGAATATCTGAAATAAATGTCTACAGTTATCTGTTAGACAATAGACTAGTGCCTCCCACAGGCAGAGGAGAAAACCTTGCCACTTGACTCAAAGAACTCGGCTGGGTAAAGCCCTCGTATTTGGAGAAGACACTTTGTATTGGTAAAGGATGGTTTGAAAAAAACCTAGAAACAAAAGAGGCTATCAGCCTTTGGTGTTATGAATGGGACAGAATTATGGTTGCTATGGGAACTGCCTTAACATTTCCTGATTCTTTTGTAAGTACCATATTTCAGTCTTAGCTATGCATTAATACAGTCTTTTTCTAGTTCTCATGCACACTGTTTTTTTTTTAAGCAGCATATTCTGGAATAGCTTAACATTTCCTGAGATTCTGGAGCTAAGTATTTTGTTGTTTTGTTCCGCAGATTCATTATGAAATGCCAGTTGGCTAATGTACAAATAAGTATTTTATTTTTATAGATGCAGAGACTATAGCTGAATTAAGGGAACTGCAACCCAGTGTGAAGGATTTTGAAGTAAAGAGTGTGGTTGGCTGTGGTCACTTTGCGGATGTAAAACTAGTAAGAGAGAAAGTCACGGGTGATGTGTATGCTATGAAGGTGATGAGCAAGGAGTCCTTGTTGGCACAGGAGCATGTACGTATATTTTCCTGTTACGACAGTAGAACAATCAATTACAATTTGTTGAATATTTCCTTTTTGTCATTACTAGTAGAACTAAATTAAAAGTGTATCTTGAGAAGGACCATCCTACATTCCAGTGAATATATTGTGTGCAGTTTTGCTGTGTTTAGGAGCCGTTGTCATACACTATGAATCTATTGGGTGAGGTGCCATCCAAAATAGAAAAATGGTCCTTGTCTTAAAGAGTTTTTAATGGTGTATGACAAGAAAAAAAAGATGAAGAAAATACTGGATCAGTATTGATCAGCTTGATGATGACTTGAATTTTCAGGCAATCTATTCGTTAAGGTTTGGGTTTTTTATTTTAAAGAGCGATGTAGAATGTCAAGAGTGGGTGTGAAGGCAAACTGTGGTGACTGGATTTTTATGGAGAGCCTCTCGCTAGCTTGAGAAATGTGTTACTTGAAAACTTAAAAAAGGCATAATGGAGGTTGTTATCATAGTTTGGTGAGAAACAGACGTTAATCTTTCCCTGACATGAGATGACAAGTAGGACAGAGATACGCCATGAAAGACCTCATGAATTTATACAGCAATATCTGCATCAGTTGTTCCCAATATATGGTGCCGTTAGGCTGCTCCATTGTTCGTGACTATCAGAAATGAAGAAAAACTAAAATCACTCCTGCTATGGCATGGGTTGACAAGAAAGTGTGATACTGCCCTCAGTATGACACTTGCTCAGTCTTGTTGCGTTTGGGTCAGCCAAGGTAGGGAATGTTGATCTGAATGAACTCGCAGTATCTCTGCAATAAAATTAATTTCTTCTTGTCGGGCTGCACATCTGAATAATTAAGTAGTTGCTCAAGGACGATTTCAAGAAAGCCTTGTATTTGAATACCTTACAATGAATTTATTACTGAATTAGCTCTAAGATGTTACCTTATAATCATTGTAGCTTCTTTTCAGCTTGTCTGATTCTTTTGAGATTAGTTTTCTGTTATTAGGGCCAGTCAAGATGAGGTCAGCCAAGACTGCATTCTGGACTGGTAGATGCTTCACCAGTTTGAAAGAGAAGCTGGCCTTTGCTGCAGGGACTATTACAATTGAAAGCAAGCTAGACAACAGGAGGTGGGAGGGCGTTTACGCAAAGGAGTAAAATTACTTCTTTCAAGATGCACATCACAAGGAAATAACACATAATATTTTCTGCGTATTTTTTTTGTGATGTGTGCCTTTGGCGCAGACTCAAATCTTTCTAAAACTGTGGGATTCTAATGTATTCTAACTCATTTTCATTATGATGTAACTGAACACTTCCTTTCCTCGTAGGCGTCATTTTTTGAGGAAGAACGCAGTATATTATCTCAGAGTACCAGTCCCTGGATTCCACAGTTACAATATGCATTTCAAGACAAGAAAAATCTCTACTTGGTATTGCCTAGTCCTTGTTTCTTTTCTCCTCTGTTGAACGCTATTGCCATTGTAATGTTGAAGAACAATGTGATGGTTGAAATGTGCTCATCTTCTGTCAGTTTTACTGCTTTACATACCACTGTTTGGTATGTGCCCAGTGTAATACGGAGGAGTTAAATGGAATATCTTTTGTGTATTTAAACTATATCTGTTCCTTTAAAATTTTATGTAGGTTATGGAGTATCAGCCTGGAGGGGACTTGCTGTCACTCTTAAACCGATACGAGGACCAACTGGATGAGAGCATGGTGCAGTTTTATCTTGCAGAGTTGGTTTTAGCCATTCACAGCGTCCATCAGATGGGATATATACACCGGTAGGTAGAGATTGCTTTGCATTGCACTTAATATGTGATCACTGTCATTCCAGAAGAAGTGTTCTGGAATGATCCATTCTTAGTTTTTTTTAATATTCCATCCTTTTTCAGGACAGTATTTCACATCCTGTATCAGAAGAGAAAAATAGAAAGTTAATCAGACTCCAGCTATAATTGTAGCTAAAGGCATTAACTTTGATGTAAAGTTCAAACTAATATCAAGAAAGGATTGTTACATATATTTTCTGGAGGCTTAGTAAAAAGAAACCTTAATGTTGCACTACAGAAAATCAAAATCTTTTCCTAAAATTGTTGCTTTTAGTACCAAGTAGTATGGGAAATCAGTGTGTGCTGATTGGTGAACAGAGCTGTATAGGGTGTTGGAGTTGTTAAATATCACAGAGTTTTCTAAAGATCATGGCAAGGCTTGGATGCTATTACTGTTTGCATTTTCAGATCATCTTGGTGTTTAATAAATTTATACCATTCTGAGGCTTTGGAAATGTTATGAAGTATTTTATGTTCCAAGCAGCTGTAGTGGCCGCACTTAGAGTGTAGGCTGTGGCTTTCTAATGCAGTGTAGCTGCCTGCATTTGAAAGATGTACAGAATAAGTTTGATGAAGTTTGGGAAGAAAGCTACATAATACTGCACTGTAACTTTGTAGCAATGCAGTCAAGATGCAAAACCACTTTCTCTTTCCATCTTCTCTCAGTAATTATTAACTTTCCTTGAGATAAGGGGAACTTTACTACTTTTCATATTTGCTCAGAAACAGAGTAATGGTTGGAAATAAGAATCCCACCTGTTTATGCAGCTGAGCACGTGGTTGAGTGTAGCTAAACGGGGATAACCTGTTAACTAGATGTGACAGTGGGGAATGGTATGGCAAGGTACTGATTGCTTTCTTCTTGCTTATAGAGATATCAAACCAGAGAATGTTCTTATTGACCGGACAGGACACATTAAACTGGCGGACTTTGGGTCAGCTGCCAAAATGACAGTAAACAAAACGGTAATAATGTGGATTTAAACTTTGTCTGCGGCTTGTTTGGATAGTCCAGTCAAAAAGGGATCATACCTTGTTCTTCTGCCTTTCTTGTCCAATACGGTATCTATTCACAACGCTATTTTTCCACTTGTGAATGGCTTTGCAAACATAAGCTTGAGTATCTTTTGCAGCTCTCAGTAGATATGTATTTGCCTATGAAAATTTTAATGCACAAATAAGGTAAAGGCAAGTCTACTTTCTCCTGGTGCTGCGCTGCAATACAAAGTCATACTTCTAGAGATTCATACAACTGCTCAATGCTGTGTTTTAAGAAGAGTATGGATTTATCATTTTTCATAATTGGATTGAAAAATTGTATTTGTTGGAGCTAAAGTGACATAGTTTTGAAGACTGGGGAGCTCTTGGTTGAAATGAGACATTCCAGTGTTCTGTCTGGGCTTTATTCACCAGAAAGCGCTATATTCAAAGCTGTCAATTGGTGGAGGTTTTTGGTAAGTTGCTTGTGAATTTAGGTAGCTGCCTACAATTTCAAGTGATAATTTGAAATTAAAATGTATCTAAGCAAGAATATGGAGTTCTAGACCAGATTCCTGTCTTGTTTCATAATTTTATTTTTTGTAGCATTTTCGTAGTACTGTGACTGTATTTTGTTTTCCCTGTTCTTCCTTTTTCAGAGCTTCTTGGTTGCATTTTTCTTTTAATTTGTTTTCTTCACGTTCTCTACATAGTCATCTTTAGGTTTTTGTATTACTCTGCCTGCTGTTTTGCCAATCAGTGCAAAAATGTTTGCAGTTTTGGCTCCTGAATTACCTCCACAAATTCAAATACTAGTACTTTGGTGAGCATGAACACAAGGTAAAAAGGTAGGCATGGCTCAGAGTGGAATGAGGGCAGGGAAAATTATGTCCAAATTTGACTATTTTTGAAATTTCACCTGGGGTGTCCCTGTTAATGCTAGTTGAAGCAGTAGTGCTAGAGCATGTACACTGCTTAAAACACCAGTGTTTAGCAATCCTGTGCTTTTTATAGTGCTGTTTTTCTACTTTAGAAGTTTGTACTTTCTAGTAACAGTAGCTCTGGTAATTTGACTCTTTTTATACCAAATAGCTTGCTTTCTGTTTGTTTACCAGCAGTTTCCTTAACCTTGCACTTTTTTGCTTAACATCCTTGCCTAGTATTACTTACTTAAAATCCACCTGGAGAACTGAAAATTGTGTCTCATTTAGAAAAAAAAAGTTTATTACCAACGAACAGGAAGTGCTTTCATTTCGCTTGGTATGTCTTTGCTTCTAGGTAAATGCCAAGCTACCTGTTGGCACACCTGACTACATGGCACCAGAGTTGCTAACGGGCTTGAATGGGGATTGCAAAGCTTCTTATGGCCTGGAATGCGACTGGTGGTCCCTAGGAGTCATTGCGTATGAAATGATTTATGGAAGGTCTCCGTTCACGGAAGGGACTTCAGCAAAAACTTTCAATAACATCATGAACTTCCAGGTAGAGAGAACTCCTTCCACGTTCTTGAGTAAAAAGGCTATAACTAAAGACTGTGTTTTTTACAGTTGAGAAAAGAAGTTTATGGATGTCTCTTGCTTTGTCATGTTCATAAAGTATTCAGAACATGTGCTTGTTGTTATTTGTCTTGTATTGTAGATACCAAGTTATTTTTTGTAACAGGTGTCTAAAAATAACCATCTGCAATGCATGAATTAAAAAAAAGACTTAGCTGTCCATCTTAGGCAACTATAATTGCACTTCCAAAATAATCTAGAAAAGGGATTGAAGTGATGAGTTGTGGACTGATGAAGTTTCTGAATCTTGAGTGTTTCTGGATTGTGAAGGCAAGGGCTAGCTATGGAGAGCTGCAGAAAGACTTGAGGATATTGAGTGTCTGCATGATTAAAACATCGTGTGAAATGCAGTGTAAAGAAATTGAAACAAATGAACATGAAGGGAAAAGTATCTCAACTTTACCCAGTGGTGGGCTCAAGAACAGTATCTTGATGTTATAATCTATGCAAATGTTATTTTATTTCTTAGTCACAGTCTGAAAAGCAGCACATAAAATGGTATGATTTAGTAGGAAAGAAAAAGAAAAGAAAACCTTTAGTAGCTGGGATGAAGTTAACAAAGAATGGTTGTGTATTATCTCTTCTAACATGGGAATTAGGGGTGTTAAGTGAAAGTAGCCAGCAGTTAACTATGTTACAAACAAAAAGGTATAATTCATACAGAACTTTCTCATGCTGGGGAGCGGTTTGCTGTAGGTTTGCAGCTACCGAATGTTTATAAGTGTTCAAGGAGTGACTGGAAAAATTCACAAAAGGAGAATCCATTGAGATTTCTCAAATACAAAGACATCTTCCCTGGTTCAGAAAATGCTAAGCCACGAATCCTTGGAAGTTTGGGAGAATTATCTGGGGAAGCGCCTTGTTTTAATCTTCCATTTTTGTGTGGCATTGGCTATTGTTCGTAAGACGGTGATCTGGGAGTAGCATTTGTCTGACTGCGAACGGTTGTTCCTATGTTCTTATCTTTATTGCAGTAAATGCATATAAAAGCTTATTTGGAAAAAATTGCACAATACTTTTATTTGTATGCTATAAATATTTGTCTCGGAATAATGAAACTTAATCTTCCTGTTATGGGACTCTTTTCTTACTGAGGGGAAATCCTTTTTTTGCTAATGCAGAGATTTCTGAAGTTTCCAGAGGATGTGAAAGTTAGCAGTGAATTTCTTGATCTGATCCAGAGTTTGCTCTGTGGGCAGAAGGAAAGACTGGGTTATGAGGGACTCTGCTGTCATCCATTTTTTTCCAAAATTGACTGGAATAATATCCGTAACTGTAAGTAGAATACTACTATATTTACAAACAATTCCTTTTACTTGGGTAACATGAACATCTGTACAATGTATTTAAGTGTGTTTGACCTGAATAATTCTTCATAATGAAACAGGACTGTGTCCTGGAGCAAGTGGTTTTAACAAAACAATTAATTTTGGTTTTTGGATAGGATATGTTAACATTTCTCAGGTGAAAACTGTAAGTTAAGATGAAGTTTAACACGCTTCTATATGAATTTCTGATGCAATTGCCTTATTACTGCAGGCACTAGACTGGAAAATCAAAATGGTCCTTTCTATGTCCTTCCTCAGATTAAAATGCATCGGGATGTTCTTTCAGGCCTTTTCCACCTCAATTTGCTTAATTTTGGCTTCGCCTCTTCATGTTTTTGTTGTAGCTTCAGCTTTTTCTCTTTCATTGCTTGTGATCCAATTTCATTTAAGGTTGGGTTGGTTTATTTCAGCTTTTGTAGGTGAGGAAATGTCAGTGGGGCATTGGAGTTTTTCCTCAAAGTTAATGCAGCTAATACATTACTAATTTTTTTGGTCAAAAATCTGTTCATTCCACTAGGAATAGAATAAAACCAGTAAAGCAGATGGTTTTGTATGCAGAAAATTGTTTCTAATGCTATGGAAGCAATGGGATGGAATTTGATATTTGGAAGTACTGAGGCACCAGCTCCACTGCAAAAGCAAATATTTCACAGGTCATCAATAATCTTTGTGTGAGTGCCTGACTTGTGTTGGATAGTATTTTAAATTATTTGGACTGTAAGATTATCTGGGAAAGAAACATGTCTGCCTTATATGCTTTATCAAATATGCTGTAAGAGCAATGATTGTGCTTCATTTTCCATGATAAATTGCTAAGCCAGTGCTTCTACTTTTGATGACTATCTCAGCACTTCAGCTGTCAGCTCCGCAGAATGTTTACTCACTTTTTTGTTGATTCATTAATTTTGGACTTGTGGAGCTGCTGTTCTGTTAAATTCCATTGTTTCTGCCCTTCGAGAGCCATTCAGCCTTGAGTCTTTTTCATCATTTTAGCATGCATTTCTCAGACTTCAGCTCACTCTGTCTGCTTTCCCCAGAGCCCTGCCTAAGCCACCACTTTCTGTTTCTGAAGTTTTTGTCTTGCATTTGTATCATATTACCTCAGATCTGGAAAAATGGCAGGTGAGCATATGTTCTGGTGTTTCCTTGGCAATTGTCTGTCCAGCATTCACACAGCTGCACAAGTTAATCGAGTGTTTTGCCATTTCACGTGACAAGGGTGGCACTGATGAACAAGCTGGTAGGCAGCCCTGTTGTCGGTATAATGTTGAAATAATCATTTGGGATTTTTAAAATCCCGTTGTGTCTGCAGCTGGCCAGTGGATTGCATCATTCTCTGTAATATCCGGATCTACCTACTGTGAAGATTCATGCAGTTTTGACCCCTGACTTTGTTGTTATGTCTCATACTTCATAAAACTCCACTGTAACTAGCACAAAACACAGCAGTCTTCTTGCTTTTAGTAGCAGATCCAATGTATCACCTATTGCTTTGCTCTCTGCAGTGGTTCTCCACTTGCTGGTTTATTCAGGGCAGAGTCGCTGTCATTCTATACAAAACCCTTGTCGAGTTTGACCTGGGCTATCGAAAAGCTAAAGGTTTCTTTTTTATCTTGACCTCTGCTGATAGTGGTGTTTAACTGGAGCAATGGCAGTCTGAGAAAATTAGGAAACTAGTGAGTGCTGGAAGAGGTCACAGGATTTAGATTTAGAATCTAAAGTTCAATTCAATGTGGTCAAAGACTTCAGGGGTATGGAATATTGGACTTGATGATCTTAAAGGTCTTTTCCAACCTAAATGATTCTACAACTGTATGATTGTTACATAAATTCTGTGTCAGCCCAGTCAGACTTTCCTCTAGTCTGTTAAAATCAATGATGTTGTTTCTATTTCAGACTGAGAAAGGTGGGGAAAAACTTGTACCCTAGCCTTGCAGGTGTTTAAATTATCATACTGGGAGCTCTAGGATAACCATTTTTAATGCACAGATTTTGGTTAAGGATGTTTCATTAAGGGCTTTTTCAGTGTTACATTTTGTTGTTATGGTAACACTTGACTTTTCGATAAACCCCTTCCCAAAAGATGCCTCTAAAAAAGCTCCCAGCTTCCTTGGGTTCAAGTAGCCTGTGTCTGTAGAAGTAGCTCTTAAGTTACAGAAACAGAATCCAGCCATTAAACCAAAGGTCAGGATTAACGGAATCTATCTTAACAGGTAATTTCCCCCTTCTTTGGAGTATTGTACTGAAATGTATTTATAGATTCTGCTCTCTATTTGTTGATTTCTGCTATTTAATAACTTCTAAAGCTTCTAAAAAAGACCCCCAAAACCAGACACCACCACCCTCCCCCTCAAACTAAAGAAAAGAAAACTTCCATAGCATAAAGAGTCTTTCATTTAAATAATTGTTTTCTACCTGCAGTCCAAGAGGTGTTGAAGATGGAATGGCCTATTTGGACTTGCATGGGGAAACTGTGTAGGTCAGAAATAAAAAATAATTTCTTGTGCAAACAGAAGAACTTGAGAAAGTGTTGAAGTTGAAAGTGTTGATTTTTAGGCTGTCTTCTGCTATAGAACAGGCAGGAACCTAAATCTCATTGTTCCTCAGTCCAAGACTCATCCTTCTGACCCCGAAGCTGTCATTCAGTACGCTGTTAAACATTGTGATGCTTCCTTTTAATGCCTGCTTTCAGAAAAATGTGTTGATTTGTTTCTGTGAGTGGAGATCACTTTCATGTCAGCTTGAAGATCGCTTTTATTACCAGAAATGTGTGTGTTGGATCATTGTCTTGAAAGAACAGAAGAGATGTTAAGATAATATTGTACAGATTGGTTAGAGCTTGTAGAATGCCTTTTTAAAGAGTGGCCTTAGAGAAAACACCCTTAAATGACATCGCTTGGACTTTCTGTTTTCTGGTTTTTTTTCTGTAACACTTTACTCAGGCCTCTTAAAGCCTGAGGAGAAGTAATGCTTAACCTACTTAAAAAGGCTGTGTGGATGCTTTTCCTCAAAGTGTGCATAGATCACCTTGGAGGTCAAGACAAGACACATTTTTATTCTCAAGAAACGTTCTGCCTTTCCTTTAAATTTCCTATTTTAGTCAAGTCTTTCACTGTCCCAGGGGAAATGCAGTATCTCTTTTCTGAATTTGCATGAAAATATTGTGAAAGGGTAGAAAGACCCAATTAAGGCAATGTTCTTTGAACCAGTCATAAATACACACGCTAGTGCAGTTTTTGGTTTGGTTTTGTTTTTTTGAAAGAGCTTCTTTCCATAAGAGAAATTTATTTTATCAGCTGGTTACAGCACTGCAGGCTATGTGTGGTGGTTTTGGTTTTTTCTTTTCTTCCTTTTTTTTTCCTTTAAACTTAGCAACCTACAACACCCCCTTTTCCTTTGAAAGTCATTCTTTGGAACAGATGGGAGAGGGTTACATCCTTCCACAAGTGGGGAGGTATCTAGGCAAGCACTTGGCTTTTTTAAAACATGCAGTTCTCTACAAGATACTTTAAATGGTAAACAGAACATGTACGTTGGTTTGTAACATATCAGAGACAAAAAGAGGTCTTCATACACAACCAGTTCGTATGAATAGCAGCATTGGCTCTTTCTGAGTAATAGTTTTGCCTACCTTTTGGGTGAGCCTGACAAAAGTGCAAATGTTTCACTTTGTCAGATGCGTTGGCATGGTTTTAACATTTCGTTCTCGGAGGCTTAACTTGACCTCTACTGAAGGCTGCTTCCCTTTAAAGAAGACACTGATAAGCACGTTAATGTATTTGCATTCACCAGTCTTCATCTAGTTCTGCTAATACCATAGTTGTGTGACAGTGCTGATTTTAAGCAACAAATAATAAGTTAACTAAAGATTTATCACCGTGTGACCCAAATTGGAAAACAAAACGGCTCGTCTGTTTTAGGTTGTTCTTACAAGACTACTTCGTTTCTTCTGTAGATATTTTGGACATCAGACAAAGGACAGCTTAGTGTTCGGAATAAAAGGCTATAGAGAAGCTGTCAAATAATTAACAAAATAAGACGGAGTGGATCTAGCTTTTTATTTTCCCGTTAAAGATATTTCCTCTTACTGCTCAATGAGTTTTTCTCCAGTGTCCTGAAACTTCCAAAGAAGTTCTGCTTCTCATTTCCAGTCACTGTTGACAGCTCAGGACTACTTAACATCTAGAGGTGTTTTTGTTGAGTGGCTGTTCTAAGTTTTCTCTTTAGTTGCTACTATTTCTTGGTACCAGTATTGTAACGAGGTTATACTGCAAAGTTGCAGAGTTTTTGGACTGATAGTCATGGATTTTTAGAGAATGCAAAATAGCAGGCAAATTATTTTTTATTTGTTTTGTTTTGTTTTAAATCTAGTGTTCACAATTCCTCTTCTTCATTCACATCTTTTATTAAACATTAGAGGAAACTGTAGTGTGAAACACTGAGCTCTTTAAACTGGTTTCCCACCAGCCCCAAAGAGTTGTTCTGTCTCGCATTCAGTTTTATCTTTCTGCATCCATCGTTCCCCTATTGAGTGCTTTTCATCTTCTTATGTGCATGCTGATCTTAGGCATAGTTAAATTATGTTTTCTTTTATGCCTGTGGTTTGACTAGGAGTTCTTATTGTTGTTAAGAGGGAGGACTTTATTTTTAATTGCAAGGACTTGAAGGTGACTCTTAAGATCTTCTTAGCTAATTTCTGGTGAGAAGTCAGGCACTAGAGCTTTCTTTCAAAGATGAAGTTATCTGTCAAACTCCGAGGAGCGGACAGCAGGGTTGTTACACCATTATAAAAAGGCAGTTATGTTGGTTTTTTTTTGTTGCTGCCTCTTTAAGAAAGATTCTAGCCTTCCCCAGACAAAGTGAATAGTTTGCTGTTGTCTCCATTACTTTGCCTCACAGACAGTATCTGTTCAAAGACAATGTTGAAATCCTCACAGCAACCCCTTTCCTGTAAAAGGATGTGCAGAGCTCTTTCAGTAGAGGTCCTGAACTGGAAAATCCTAATTCCTGAACTTATCCTCCTCTGCTAGGAATTAACTGTAACTTTGGGCTTATCTTTACATTAAAGATGAAATACTTACAAACTGTTCTCTGATGCTTCTGTTTTTAATCATTCAGAGCATATTAAAGAGTAGCTGGACATTATCCTGACATTAAGTGAATATTTTTTAAAATACAGATCCTAATCATTCGTCTGTATTCCAACATGATGTTTACAGTGCAGAAATGTCAGCATTCTATCGGATCTAAATTTATATTATAACCAGTAAAATACCAGAAATGAATAAATTCATTATATTGACAGAAAATTGAAATGTTCTAGAGCCAGTAAGTAAAACTGCTTACTACAGAACCTATTTAATTTGTGTATTTTCCCCGTTTATCTCATGCTAATGTACTTGGAACTACTGTACGTGAGCAGCATCCTGTCTGCTTCATGGAATTGCTTCTCCCTTCCCTGCTTGGGAGCGGCGTCAGAATGGCTCCTTGGGGAGCTGCTAACAAAGCCTGCAGGTGTAGTTGTGATTTGGCAGTTTACACTGACCGGGTTTTCGGTTGTTTTATGTTTTGGCTGTTCACGCTGGTCTGGTGGGTAGTTTAAGCGTACGTTTGTCTAGGGAATGAAGAGTTAAAAACGGGCTGTGAAAGGCTTTGGCAACCTAGAGGGAGCTAGCAAGCTCCAGCCGTGACTCATTCTGCCTGTGTCAGTCAGATAAGCATCAGCATCTGTCACGACTGCAGGCAGGTAGGGTTAAACTCCGAGCATGCAGAGAGTGAGGAGCAGGGAGCCTGCACTGCAGGGGTTGTAATGTTTGTTCCCGGTTCTTCAATTCTCATCAGCCCTTCAGCTACAGGAGATCCATACTGGATCCATGGTAACGGTTTTAGCACACTACACTTCCATCAGGTTGTGACAATGGGCTGTGCTCTAGTTGCTGACTGAAGAGCTGTCTCCTTCAGAGAGGAAAAAAAAAGAGATTAGTAGATTTGCACTGAGTGAGGGAGACCTGAGTGATGAAATAAATAATAATACAAAAACCTTAGAAAATAGGATTTAATGAGGTAGGGACTGCACAGCAGGCTTTTGCATTCATTCCTTTCACACACGTAGCCAAGCCAGCAGGTAGCTCGGGTGCTGCACATCATTGAGAAGAACTTGTTCTTTTGTTCTGTCTGTTAATTAAACTGAGGCACATGTGAGAAAATCAGCTGAAATTAAACTGCTTAACAAGTGAAGGGATACCAATTTAGAAATTATAGTACAAAATACCTTGTAATTCCTGCTATTTATACCTCTCTTCACAGCTGATTGTATCAGAGCCAGACTGCAGTGGTGTCCCGACAAGAGTTCCAGATCTTCAGCAAGCTCTTTTAGAGAAATAAAATCCTACTGATATTTCTTCCCTTCCTATTAGCTTCTAGTAGCTATAGATTATTAGAGTCTTCCAGGAGAAACACCAGTTTGCTGTTGATTAGAAGCCCATGCTGGGAAGATTCTTGGTAGTATTAAAGGTAGAGATGTCCCTTGGCTGACTAGCAAAGGATCAGGCTACATCCTCATGTAGTGTCACTAATTGTATAGGTTGGGGACGTTTTCTAGATGAATCAGAATTGCATTACTTTTAGCTACATTGCAGTAATGATTTTCTTGGCTTGGTGCTTTGATTTGGTTCAGTGTATATGTTTAAAAAAACCCAAACCATAACCTGAAAAAAACCCCACCAAACCCAAAAAACCAACAGTCTCAAATCTCCAACCTAAACCCCATTTGAATCAGTGTGGGAGACATTCTGCCTGCAGAGTGGTAGCCATGTTGGTAGCTTAAGGGTTAATCTCTTGTTGCTGTAATACGATTTGAGAGCAGCAGCTCAGTCTGCTTGTGTTAGCAAGATTAAAAGCAGGAGCTGCAGTGCCATTGCAAGCACTGAATGAGTGGGACTGTTGCAGAGTGAACTGTAGCTGAATTTTGTCTTTTCTTCTTGCTTTTTTCACCAGCTCCTCCTCCCTTCGTTCCTACTCTCAAGTCTGATGATGACACCTCAAATTTCGATGAACCAGAGAAGAATTTGCGGGTTTTATCCTCTACGCGCCAGTTGAACCCAGCAGGCTTCTCGGGTGAAGATTTGCCGTTTGTGGGGTTTTCATTCATCAAGGCATTAGGGAACCTCAGATCAGAGTAAGTAGGAATTATTGCTTAGGTGGCTAGGACCATAGGAAAGATGCAGAGGTTTGTTACGGTGAGGATGGTGTGTGTGTGGAAAGGCTGATTTAACTGGCCTGTACGCTGCTTTAGGGAAGCTGCCAGATTCTGGCTTTTATCTGTTGCTGCTGTGGGTTATGCATGTCCTGCCGTTCTGTGATTATTTTGGTGATGAGGGGGAGGGAGGGAAATGGAAAGATTGGTTCTAAAACAGTTATTGTCAAAATTGTTGTTCAAATACTTTGAATTAGTTGTTGTTGTTAACCAGGGAGCAGGGGGTGATTGCATTTCTGGTACTGCAGATCCCTGGGAGAAGGAGAATACTGAGGAGTTCAGAGATGGAAAAGGGGGGTGTTATTTTATTGGGTCAGAGAGTGGGCACCAAGGGCTGGGGATGTGTAAGGCTGAATCAGTGATCCACAGAAATGGAGCTCCACTAACCTGGGAATGTGCAGTGCTGGGCTGGTGAACAAGAGAAGGAGCTTCACTGTGTGCTCTTGAGTCAAGTTAAATACAAGACTGCTGTATTGTGTGTTAAGAGACTGGAGATTCAGGCGAAGTATGCAGGGTATGTGTTTGTGGAGGGACTTAAAGATCTAGAAAAATGGTTTTCTTTCAATTGAAATCATGCTTTCTGAGCGAATGGAGGCAGAGAAAAAGAAGAATATAAATAGTACGGTATAAATTATTTGGTGTGGTGGGTGGTTAGTTTCTGATGACAGAGCTATTGAAAAAGTATTAGTGCAGTACGTTTAAGTTGAGAAGTCCTTACCTCAGAATCATGAGGCTTCTCAGGAATGCAATGGCTTTAGCTGGGTTAGTGACTCAACGCACTACGGCGCCGTGTTTTCATGTCAACCATCGTTCATTGCTGCCAGTTAGTTCCCTTAGGGGACTTTGCTGTCAATCTGTCTTAATCGAGTTGTCATTTTTTTGTCACATTGGTTGTGATAGTTGCTCTGCAGTAAGTGTGTAACTAAATCTGGGGATACTGTTGACATCCTTGATCTTGCCCACACGGTGAATCAAGGTTATGTGATGGTTATGCCAGTAAGAAAAAGGCAATCTTTGACTGTCCCTCCTCAGCAGAGTTGCTTTTATGGCAAAAGAGGAAGGAAGGGAGAGGACATAACGACAAAGAAAATATTCTTCTGGTGGACTGATCTAATATTGTGAGCAGAATTAGAAAATGAGATGTTGTATCTGTAGATATCTGGGGTTAAAAATCTATTTAGATGTGAAATAACTTACGGTGTTACCTTTTCTGCCTGGAGAACTGCAATCCACCTATCGAGGCTGCATGACCGTTCATGTGACAGGTAGAAGAGGCTCAACAGTGACCACAGATGTATGGTGAGAATGTACATGTAATCGGGGCCCAAGAACTGCAAAGGAGTGTGAGGTGAAGTCTCAGGAACAGCACTGTAACTGTGCTGGAGGCTGGAGGCTGAAAAGTAATCTACAGATACAGCAGATTGATTGATATGCTTTTCTGGTGGAGCTAGTACCAAAAATGCATATTGAAGTTGTATTTGAAATTTGGTAATAGGTGAAAAGGGGTTTAGCAAAAGAATATGGAGATTAATATGCTCTGTATGAGGTACAATTTCTGCTTTGTGTGGCCCGTTGTTGCCTGAGCTGGAACAGAAAGATGCCATGTACTTAATTTTCTCCCAAAGAATTTTAATGTAAGTAGATGTTAATGTTTTGGGGCTTTTTTAATGCGATCTCAATAAATGCACATTGATATTTTTAGCAGTGAATACTTGCATTTTATTCTAAGAAGGTGATTTAAAGATGGCAAAAGGTGTCCGGAGACTTGAAAGTACCTGTATTTAAATAATGCAGTGACTAGTTCATTCTCAGTATCACTGCAACACTGGGCCGTACAGACAGCTTCTTTCTTATAAAACATTGCGTGGTGTTTGTTTTACTTGAGGAAATCAAGTCCTGTTTCTGTCCACACTAGCTTGAATATCAAATTCCAGATGGGGAAGAGAACAGTAAATGGGGGGTAGGCTTATCTGTTGTGAATCTTGGGATGCCTTCTCTGGAAGGTCTTAAGTCATCAAGTTTACCAGTCCAGAATTTTTCTTCTTAAAAATCTTTCCTCTGAAACCTTTATGGTTGCTAAGTGATGCAGATCTGTTTTCCTGTGGCTGCAGCACGATAGCTCTAATGCCTCTAGTGCTGCTTAGAGTTAGGCCAGGCAACTGCAGAATGCCATGAACAAGGTCCTTGAAACTTTCATTGCTTTTAATTTGAAGGCTGTCAAGCTGTGAAGTTTAGGGTTATACTCTTGCCGTTGTTCAGTGGACAGTAAGAAGCCATAGCTGAGCTAGGAATTTCAAATACTTCAGAGAAAAGGCAGTTAAAAAAAATGGACAGCAGAAAGATTTAGAAAGTTCTCTTTTCCATTCTCCTCTTTCTCCCAACCACTCAGGGTTAGAAGGGTTCACCTAAGTCACTCAGACCTGTTGCCAGAAATTACGTAGTCGGTGTGTGGTTTAGAAGGGTCCATTGAATTAAAATGTTCTCAATGTTGCCCCATACCGTGAGTTCTGGGAAGAATTTGTGACCCTGTAACAAATGTAAGGTTTAACAAAAGAGCAAAAAGTATGATGATGATGTCGTGGGAAGCAATCGGGAGAAATCAAGGGCATTGCTTATGTCGTAGGTTGCTGTACTAGCAAAGTGTTTGTTAAACACCTCTCCTGTGTTACTCTAAGAACTGGGATCAGGCTGCAGAGAAGGACCACCTAACTCCTGCTCCCATCATGGCCTCTGAATTCTTGATACGGGGGAGAAATGCCCGTCTGACTGCAAATCTGGCTGCTGGGTTGGCTGCAAGCGTGTGACTGTGACAAGATAACAGGCAACTGAGACTTTAATTCCATTAAAAGCCAGCCCCACCTCACTTCCTGTCCCTAACTGCGGCTGATCTCCAGTGCTTAGAACAAGTGAGAAAAACCCTGAGATGCCAGAAATACGCATCAAGTGGTGAAAGAAAATCGCTCTTGTCCTTTACAGGTGACCAGCAGAAGCCCTAAGGCATAAGCTAAATACATTATAAATCCTGGGCTAACCAAACGCACCAGTATACTTAATAAAAAGAAATACCTAACCAAATAAAGCAAAATACCTAATTAAAACATAATTACCTATTTAAAAAATAGGTCACGATGTAAATTTTTGCCTGCCTCTGTTCTCTCTCAGACTGGAGAAAAGCTGAAGGGGCCTGACTATTTATGATACAAAACTTTGGTTAATACAAAATACTTGCTAAACCAGCACCTGGGGGTGTGTTCACAAGCAAGGCTGACAGTGACACTGGTACCTAATCTCATTGTTGCCTTTTTCCCCCCCTTTATTTTATTTTTTTAATTATCTATCAGAATATCATCAATGTAATCCTAGTAATTCTTGATTTGTGGTCTGTGAGGCTTTGGTAGTTGCTTAAATCTTTTCTGTAAGTTCCGAAGAGGTGGGATTTTTCAAGATTTTTTATTTTATTTTAAAATTTTATACCTATTTGTGATTGTTATTCTAAAACACAGAGATAAAATGGGCCATTCTTTCAGAAAGAAGAACTACCGGTTTCTTCCAACAGTTTGTCAGGTTCTGGTAAACTCTTTTACCAAAGATAGATTAGAGAGGAAGCACAGGATGAACATACCAAAAATACGCTTTGCTTCAGCTAGCTCTATTCACAGATTGATGGTATCACTGTTTGGTTTTGGTTGGGTTTTTTTTAGGCCTGAGCCAGCATTTACGAGGGGGTGGAAGGTACAGATGAGTATAATGCTAAAAAGAATAGAGCATGAGGGCCGGGGGATGAGATTATCGGCATGTTGTGTGGGGGCCAGGATTAGGACAGATGGTGTCAATCGGTGTGAGAAGGAGGAAGCACAGGTGAGCTGGGGGCTTATGAGAGTGGCATCAAGGGAGAAAGGAAGGTATGAGGTATGATGCACAAGAGAGGTTCAGATACGAGTTTGGTACCCCAGAACCATCTTACAGCTTTTCCTATGCTAATACGTTTTTATCTCAGCCGCATCTTTATCCCAAAGACTGGAGGAGCTTTTCCAGAACCTGCACCATTTCTGGTAGCTCTGCTGGTTGAGGTTGTTGCTGATCTAGCTGTGAAATCACTCGATAGTCAGCTGTAAGTTAACTTGTTTTTTAGTCATGCAGGCAGTGCTGCTTTTGAAAGTAAATTGGCGCAGCTAGTGCTATCAGCGCCTGGCACTACAGACTCGACTCTGGGTTTTTTTAATCTTTCATTGCAATTTCTTGTTGATGTATGCTGGTTACCTTTTGTTAATCTTTTTTCACACTTCAGAGGAAACGGCAGAAACAGCTTTGTTGCGCTAAGGGAATTGATCCAGATGTAGCAGTTAATTAAATGAAGTATTCTGAGATGGTATCAACCTGAATGATAGCTTTGCATCATGGCTTTTGATGTTGGTTTGTATGTGTTTAATTTCTGAGATGATGCTGACTGAGGATATAAGTGCTCCGGCAATGTGGTTTTTTTCCACCTTGTCATGCTGTGTTGAGAGCTTATATCACCATGACAAGGCTTATTAGATTAGTCAGTATTCCATTTCTCTTGATTTCCTCTGTCTGCCCCCGTTCTGATACTTTGAAGGTTGTGTGGATGTTCATGAAGTTGTTCTAATACAATTTGTACACAGAAAGAATTACCGGGTAAGGATCTCTCTTAAAAACTGTGTGTCCAGTGATAACTGAAATCGGCTCCGCTTGGGGATATGATGTGCTATTTCCATGGCAGGAAAATTGTTGTGTCACCACGACACATATTTTTTCGGGATTTCTTCCTCCCTTTGGACAGGGATGAAGAAGAAAGATTGTAGTTCTAGTTTGTAGCCTTCTCTTTTCTTACAAAGCTGACACCAACCCTGAGGAGCAGCTCCCTCTACAGTCACCTCATGAAATGCAAACTTCGGTCAGTGGTGTCTCCTGTGCTCTGTCCCATCCCGTCACTCCTGGCTGACAACGCTGCGTCTTCTTGCCTGAATCTGTCCTGCTGCTTCCTGTGTTGCGGTGCATATGGATGCTTTGAGCTGGCTTGCTAGGAGGAGTTTTTGAAATGCAACATGGTGCCTGTAATATTGGGCTCTGATTCTTTTAATAGCAAATAAAGGAGCGAAAATAACAAATGAAATGAGCCCCTTTAGGAAGAAGAAACAGAAGCAGCAAATAGCACCAGGTCTGTGAGAACTGGCTAGAGATTTCATAGGTGTTGTCTCAGATTTGAAAAGAATAACAGTAAAAAGATGATGGCTAATGTTGAAACTGTAATTTAAAAAAATGCTTCAGCCAGTGCACTGAAGACCTGTAGAGCTAAATTTTTATCATAAGAAGATTTTCAGGCGTGTCTCAGTACACATTTGCAGCTATTTACATATATTTGATTAACACTTTAAAGCAGATTCCTTAGTGTCTGTTTTAGTTAATGTGCGCTTTAATTTGTATTTTTAGACCGCTTTTCTCAGCTATTCATTTTTAGCCTTGTTTGTACACCCAGCTGTTATGGGATTTAATATGCATCCTTCTCAGATGGTTGCTTTTCTCTGTAGGAGTATAGACATGCTTTATAAATTGATTTTTAAATATGATAATTTGATGTGTCGGATTGATTGGAGCAGGACTAAAGGAATGCTTTATATAATACCCACTTCTAACGTTTGGTTTTTTTATTAAGTCCTGCTTGTGTCTGTATTGTTGACACACAGGATTCTTTCTTCTAAGTTTTTCCATGTCAGGTTTCTGAAGGAATATTAATATTTGACTTTTCAAGGCAGAACTGGGAGGTTTTGCTATGTTTGTCTGCTGGTATCAATACAGTGGTTCCCAGTGGCTGCTGCAGGTGGTGGTACTGAAGATCTGTTTTGATACAGATGTGTCGCTGCAGCCTTTTCATAAAAACCCATGTGTCTCTTCTTATGACTAGCCTACATATCTGGTTGGATTAAGGAGTAGATTTTTCTCAGAAAATGGTGGTGGTGGAATGAAACTTTCCTTGGTGTTAAGAAGAGACTGTGCTGCTGTGTGTGGGTGTATGGCTATATGCAGAGAGCTGCTCAAAGCTCATTTCTCTCCATGGGGATAACTGGCTGCATATCCAACTGTGGCCAGGAGAAGCAGAAAGCAATGTGTGGGCAGACTGTATGATCTTTTATTAGCACCTTCATTGTATTCTGCATTTTCACCTATCAGTTAACACTGGTTCTATCATTAACTGCTTAAATATCTAGTTTGATTCATTTTATGCAAGGGAGAATGTGATTTTTTAAAATTATGTTTTGATGTGTGTACTTAATTTTTCATTGCAAATTACATATGTAAGACTGTAAAGCACTAAAAATATGCTCCAAAACATTGAGTGGCTTCCTATCCATTTCTTCTTCATTTAGAATGAATTTAGACTAACAGAAAGGGTAAACTTATTAAATGTTGAGTCCTAATTAGGGAGAAAGCTTAAGAACTTGTAAATATTTTCCCCAGGTTTCTGGAGTCGGATTGTTGTAAATAGTGCAGCCAAGTTGTGTCTGACGGAACAAAATACTTCTGAGTGGAGCTCTGAAGTTCTGCAGTGTGACTAATCATATTGGTATCGATCGAGTTGGTAGGCTTCGTATGAATTGGGTTAGGGAAGTTTCAGTTCCATTTTGACTCGCAGATGGTAACTAAGGATATTAAATTATTCTTCCTCTGGTCTAAATTATGACATGGTAAAGTTTTTAGGCTTTTGTGCTTTGATAATTTTAAAACCAGTTTAAAAATAAAGTACAAAATAGAAAGGAATTCTCTGAGGGATTTCTCTTTCCAAACGGTTACGTTGGCTGTATGCTTTGCTTTTGTTACACTTAGAAATCCGTGCAAGTTATGCAATGATGTTGCTGTGATTTATTGTTTTGCACTCTGGCATAAAAGTCACCGATGGAAAACATTAATATTGTCACTAGAAGTGCACATGGATTATTTAATAATGATATAATACTGTCGTAGGGTTTTATGGTACATTTGATCTGAAGTGATGGCTGTTAGACTGTCATTGCTGCACCTTTCTTTTATCCTGGTATAAGTAAGTACCCAACGAATTTACCGAGGCTGCATAAATGCAGGTTTCTGTACCTTTTACCTATATTCATGTGCTGTTTGGCTTTGCTCTTTTAGATCTGTTTTTTCAAGTGTGGATTCTCCAGCCAAGGTCAGCTCCATGGAAAAGAAACTTCTTATCAAGAGCAAAGAACTCCAAGACGCCCAGGACAAGTGTCACAAGGTATTTATTCACGCGATTGGCCGTCTCCATTGCTCCAGGAATCTGCAACCACTGTATGTCCAGGGATCTGTCAGATGCTGCTGATCATCCAGACTCGTGGTGGGCAAAGTGCTTTTCCTTCAGTGAGGTGGCTTCCTGTCCAGTACAAAGGGAGATGAATTTAGGCCATGCTGTTCTAAATACTTTTATCTTAACAAGAAGTGGCTCTGGATTTTAAACAGTCCTTTTCTCAGCGTGACACAGACGACTGCTTCTTCCTGCAGGCCGTGCCTCTTCATCATGCGCACAATTACAGCAGTACTGTTCTGAGGCTCTCTTCCTAACTCATCAGCTTCTACTTACATAACTGTTTTCACGTCCCCGGTTATGGTGAACATCTTGTAACAGTTGCTGTGCTCCAATAAAGGGAACCCGGTGGAGTCTTTTAAAACTTACTGCTTGTTTGAGACTTTTATGAGAGTCCGATTGTTTTTCTCCCTGCTGTGTTCTGGATTTGACCATTTGCTCCTAACAAGGAGATGGGGGGAAACCATCTTCTGGTCCAGCATGGATTTGGGATAAGGTTAAAGTGACCCATCTCTGCAAGTCAGGTGAAAAATGATTGTGTCTTCATTGCTAACTGGGGTTCGAAGAATGACTGAATATGAACAAGCAGCTTGAATGAATGGGGTGACTTAGACTTACTACTTGTCCTTAAGAAGAACTGTGCATTCCTGGAGCAGAGACAATGGTATTGCAATTTAAACACCATTTGGAGAAATATAGCTAGAAGTCTCTTGGAGACAAATTCCTTACAAACAGCTCTGAAAGTAGCAGTTAACAAAGCTTTTGAAGCTCCCTTTATAACCTCTTAATATTTATTGCAGATGGAGCAGGAAATGACGCGGTTGCACCGGAGAGTGTCAGAGGTGGAGGCTGTACTTAGCCAAAAGGAGGTGGAACTGAAAGCCTCTGAGACCCAGCGATCCCTCCTGGAGCAGGACCTGGCCACCTATATCACAGAATGCAGTGTGAGCCCTTACACCAGTCCTTTCAGCTCTGAAGGCCTGAAATCTGGTGGTCTTTGCCTTTCTCTTCCATCATGTTTTCAGTGGGGTCCTTGATGGAGAGAAAATAATATGGGAGAGGATGTCTGTGGAATATGGAGCCCTGAGTTGTTTGCAGAGGCTCGCTTGATAGTTTTATTCAAACTTTGTTTCGTGCTCATGTGCTTAGAACATACAGGAATAACTACTGTTCTGGTCTTGCTGAAATCATTTGCGATGTTTGTCTTACTGGCTGTGCTAGAACATGCTTGGGTTTGATTTCTTGCAGGTTTCTTAGCTAGAAGAGAATGGGGCTTAATCAGTACCTAGACAGAAATCCTCAAGGAGAAATAAGAGGATTAGGAAACAATGGTGTTGCCCCTGTCTGTGGTATTCTGAGTTCAGACTGATCCAGTTCCCCAGTGTACTGTCAGGGATGATGCTAGGACAGGTGCTAGTTTTCAGATAGATTTTAAAAATGAGGCTTTAAAATCATGTCTACAAAGACCAGTTGGCATTTTTCATGGCATTGGACTTTCTGCCCAGTGCTCCTGGCAAGATTCCAGGGAGGATATTTTCATTCTAGTTAATAGTCTCTGGTTTTTCCAGTTGGATAAAATATTCTGTTTCCCTTCTTGTACCAAGAACAAAAGTCCAGATAATACTCGGTTTCAAATATTGAAAAGCATTCCTGAGGGGTTTGTTTGTTGGGAAGCATATCTTAAAATGCTGAATGATTTTCCTATAACCAAATGCCGCTAGGTAAATAAGTAAAATTAAGTTGGTATCTTTCTATTGAAGAATAATACACAGTTGATAGGAAGCCCTCTGGTCCGTCAAAATCTGCAGGTAAGGTATCTGGTGAGATACAGAAGCAGCTCTTCTGTTCTTCTAGAAGTTTAATGATGATTGAGGGATTTAACTCGCTGAACAGCAACAAGAAAAATGAACGTGCTTGTTAGTAACGTGAAGTTGAAGGATTGCATCTAGGTTGTGAATTAATAGTGCTAGATAAAATATAGATAAATGCTGTCAATAACGGATTCCTTTTGTGATCTCTGTTTGGTTTTTGTCTCTAAACTTCATGTGGGGAGGTAGAGATTTGCTCTAAGATTTAAGTATAGAAAACAGTGTTTGTATAATGGGCTGCTTCTATCCAGATTGAAGCAGCACTAGCCATGAATTTCTTTGGGGTTCCATCATTGGTGCCTTGATTTTTTTTTTGATGCCTCGCTGCAGTCAAGGAGGCATTTTTATAGCTAAAGATCTTTGTTGTACAGCCATCTGAAAAAGCAAAGACTATGCATTGAACATTTTACTTTCTGCAGAGCTTAAAGCGAAGCCTGGAGCAGGCACGAATGGAGGTGTCTCAGGAAGATGATAAGGCACTGCAGCTACTTCATGATATCAGAGAGCAGAGCCGAAAACTGCAAGAGATCAAAGAACAGGTATAGCTGCTTCTTCGGGGACTAGAGTGGCTATCTGCAAACAGCCATTCTTGATGCATTCTAGCTGTTGCCAGGATTACATTTCATGTTGGTGGGCTGTAATGACTCCCAGTCTGTGTGTTTTCACGTGATTTCTTAAAGAAAATGGGAGGCAGCAAAATGACACTTTTGTGTATATTGCAAGGAAGGACAGACTCCAAACTTCAAGTTTTTCTCTTCCTAGTCCTGAAAGTACTTTGTCTGTAAAATCAGCTTAGGAGAGAGTTGCAATAATTTACTAATATGCTGCATTAGAAATGAACTATTCATTTTAAATGGTCAAGCTGTATAAATTTCACAAGTTCATGAATCACCTGGGAGAGTACTGAGCTAGCCTTCATTTTGTATTGTTTTTCATCCGTATTTCTTATCTGACCATTTAAAATGAATAGTCTTTCAAAATAGCATCTGTGTGGCCTGGCTGTTCTTTTCCTAATTTGTTCTGTTTGCAAAGTAGATGTTAATAGGTTTTTCCCCACCAGAAGAATGCTGAAAAGTCGTTACTCATTCATACAGTTGTTCATAAGGAAAAAAGTCAAAATTAAATGAAAATATAGTGACAAATGTGGATATTTTTAGTATTTAAAGTGGTCTACAACACAGAACCCATTAAGATTTATGAATTAATAGCAACATATCGTATTGAGAGAAAGACTGAAATTTGCTGTGGTGCTGAAACAATTCTTTGCAATTATCTGTTGTTTTTCATCTTCAAAGCACTTTACAAACATTAACTGAGTTATTTCATGCTATTTGAGACAAGGAAGCCCAGAAACCTTGGTAATAATTCTCTAGACATGAGCAGGTCTTATGTAAAAAGTAATGAAATGCAAAAACGCCCCTCTGGATGTAGCAGGCCTCCACAGACTTCTGCAGCGCTCTTCTGAATGGTTGTTTCATGTAGTACAAGGGATCTAAAGCTCATGACAATGCGTCTGGTGCTTTGTTAGCAAAGTTGCTTAATATATTGAAATGTGGAACCTTTTTGGTAATGATAAGTATCAATAGATTCTTAGGCAGTAAAGAGGCACGTAACAGAGGAAAAACAATGCAAGTAATTTTTAGTCAAATTTTGTCCCAGAATCTTTTAATTTGGCTTTTGAGGATTCACAATGACATAAAAACACCGCTTAGGTCAACAAATGCATCTGTAATATCCTGCACAATTTCATATCTGAGGTGGTCGTCTGAGCTGTCTGAAACCATGTGCAAGAACACTGCAACAGGATACGCAGAGTTGGTTTTGCTGACTCATACCAGCAGGTGGATCTAAGGCATTAAAAGCTTGGATCACTGTTTTTAAGTCAGAGGTGAGGTGGAAGAGTCTCTTAGAGTTTTGCTCTTGAAAACCTGAATCTTGAGAGAGAGTGAGTAAAATTAACAGCAAATCAGAATCTTCAAAAACCAATAATTGGGCATTTGGTATTTTTAGGGCAAGGCTGTAGGTTCAACTTAAATCCGTGTACTTGAATAGAAGAACGTGGTGGGTTTGCATTTTATTTTGTTTGTTTAGGGTTTGTTGTTTGGCTTTTTGTTGGTATTTTTTGGTATTGTTTTTTTGGGGGTGTTTTTTTTAACTAAACAAGCGTTGATGAAGACCCATATGAACGATTGAACTTGCAACAGATCAGAATCTATATTGAAAAGCCCACTCGGTTGTATGCAGCTACCTTGATGTGGTTTGCCTCAGGTATATGCCCAGAGCTTTGCCCGTCCGTTACTATGTGCTTAAATACATCTTGATGGTTTAAACCATGACCAATGCACATGCAAGAGGTGTTGTTATGTGTCGCCTTGAGTGATGCGGCCTGTTCCTCTGACCTGACCATGAGATTTATTCAGAGATAGTCTTGCAAATGTCAAGAAACAAGAAAAACCTGAAATATTACTAATGATCTCTTCTTCCTTCTTTTTTCCCCTCCCCATTCTCCTTCCTTCCCAAACACTCATTTTCACAGTGGCAACAGTAGTTGTACCTGTAATGCTTTGGTCAAGTGTTTGCTGATATAAAAGCCAAGTATTTTAGAAAGTCTTAACAAATTATGATTGCTGAGCAGAACATGTACTCCTTCAAACCATTCTGCCTTTTTCATTCACAAATTTGTGTGAAATGGATATTTGAGTTAACGTATGCTCACTTGTTATTTTCTTTCTGAAAAGAATTAGTCTTTTTATAAGATTATCCATAGAGAGACCAGCTGTAAAGAGTAGGGCTCCTGTCTGCCTCACAAACTGGAGAACCAATTTGGGGATTACAAACCAAACGGCCATTCTGCCATGCTCCCTGTAAGGGATAGTAAAGAATCTATTAAAGGCCCAGCTTCTTTAAATATCTGCCTGTTAAATATCTTTCTCTGTTGCTAGAGAAGCACAGGCTGACAATTAGGGTCAGTGTTCATGCAGTCGCTTGCCTCACTAAAGACAGCTGGCTGGAAGGAGCGATGACAAACCTGATTTTGTCATGAGATAGTTATTCTTTTGAATATGGGGGTAGTCAGGCGTATTGTAAGATATTAAAATGGAAAGAAAGATAGACTCCCCCACTGTCAGTCCTTCCTAATCTCTTTTTCCTAGCTCTTGGTGTGCATGTTTTTTGCTTGTTCTCAGCTTCATTAAAAAATACTTTGATTTTTGGTTTTGTGTTGGGTTTTTTTGTTTTACTTTGGTTTTGTTTAGAGTAACTTTATCAAATGTATACTTACAAGACTTAGTAAATGATGAATAAACATAATTAAATTCTTTTTTACAGTGAAGATATGAGCTAGTCTCAGTTTGAGTACCTCATCTCGCTGAGACAGTCAAATCAGATGTTCCTCTCTCATTTTCCCCATCCAAATGCCATGTCTTCTATGGGCAATGTGATTTTTTTGGACAGATTTTCTAAGTTAATATTTGATTTTAGGTTGTCTCCTATATAGAGCAATATGATCCTTTTTTAACTCTGTCAAGAGAAAATAACCGAATGCTAGAAGCCACAGTATGCTACCCCTCCGCTTCTCCTTTCCTTTTACCCAAGCTGTGCAGATCTGTGGTAATTGTCATGTTATCAGCCTGAGAATATATATCTTGAGGGAGCATCTGGGCATTTAGTAGAGCCATCAACTCAAAGGCACATATCTGTTTCAGAAATTAGAAATGTAAGTAATTTTTCTCATTTGTATGTAGATGTACGTCTGTGTTTCTGCAGTGAAGCCACTCTCAGAAAGTCAGTGTTTTGGCTTTTATGAGGTATTGATTTGAAAATGGCAAGACTCAAATCAGAACACCATGGATATGTTATTTTATTTAGCCTTTATTGCTTTATTTTGTACTTTACTTTTCTTCCATGTATTCTTAAATGTGCCTTTTGCCTGCAACCGATGTTCTGCGATCTGCTGCTCCTAGCATGTCCCCTGTTGCCCTTAAAATGTGATACCTTTTCCTTCCCTTCCACCATAACTACAGGAATATCAAGCTCAAGTAGAAGAAATGAGGTTGATGATGAATCAATTAGAAGAGGATCTTATTTCAGCTCGCAGGCGTAGTGATCTTTACGAATCAGAGTTGAGAGAGTCCCGACTGGCAGCTGAAGAGTTCAAACGTAAAGCTGCTGAATGTCACAACAAATTGCAAAAGGTAGTTTAGGCTTCATGGGAGAGGGGACTGATACTTGCTTGAATTTTTAGTGCTGTTTTACACACACACACACACAGAAGTTCTCTAAAGATTAACGCGGTGTATATAACTAATACAAAACGTCTTTCAATAATGCACTCAAAATAATGTAATTTCTACTTTGTGTAACCGCTTGTGTTTAAATTGCATGAGATAATTGCATAGAAGACCAGTGTACTGCAGCTTTTGCTGAGAGTTTTATACATTTTATGTTTAAGTTGCAGGTTAAAGATCAAGGAAAAAATGAAGCAGGAGAGTTGTATTGCAAATTGGAGAAGGTAAGCGACTTCAGTGTCCTGTGGTTTGCTTCCTGGGTCTTTCACATTTAGCACAGTAACTGAGTGTCTTTGGCTCACACTCCTCTGGGTGTTGGTTGGTTGGTTGGTTTTTTGGGGGTGTGTGTGGTTTTTGTGTTTGTTGGTTGGTTGGTTGGTTGGTTGGTTTTTGGTGTGTGTGGTGGTGGTGTTTTTTAATATTTTTCTTGATTCATTGTTCGTTTTCATGATTCATTCTTCCCTCGGATTTGATGTAAATCTGTCTGATATCCTGTTCTTAATGTATCGTGTTAGAAGCTGGGCAGAGACAAGTCCTTCTGTGTAATCTGAGTTTGGAGCTGAGTTAGTGATACATAAGGGTTTTCTTTACAAATAAAGAATAGCAAATGAAAGATCAGAATAATTCTCAGTATTCTCAAGCTGAACAATCTACTTGGTGACCAAAATATGAAGTCAACCAGAAACTAGTAATATGGGAGTAGATTTGCCGAAGAACATTTTGACATGTTGGAATTTTTAGGCAGAAACAAAGATTGTTGGGAAGTGAATTAAAATAAATATGGTATCATAAGTAGAGAGCATTTTTTCCGTTTTAATTTTACGA